AGAGAGAGACAGACAGACAGACAGACAGACAGACAGACAGACAGACAGAGAGAGACAGAGAGACAGACAGACAGAGAGAGAGACAACGAGAGAGATAGATTCAGTGAAAGAGGCAGACAAACAGTCAGACGGACAGACAGAGGACCAAACTGTGAGAAGCTTAAGCACATCCTATCAGTCACACCTCCTTCTTCCGCACACTATGGCACGGGCCCGGGCACGACGTTTGTCGAGAATAGTGTCCGGTCCGGCAGCCTCTCGCCCCGGGCTGCCCAGCGGGAGGATTGGTGGTGCTGCTCTGTGCGGCAGGAAATCACGTCTTCTACCTGCCTGCATCCAGACATGGTTTCTGTGCACTCATGGGTGCGAGACACCGAGGCTCCGCCGATTTTTCAACTCGTTGCCTGCTGGCTGCACTCTCCCCTAAGTTTTAGAGCTACCCGAGTGACGAGTATCGCGTTGCTTCTGTATTCGACTTCCTCATGAAGGGTTTGCTTTTTGCGAGAGGTGAACAAAAGGAAGAAAAACGGGCGTCGATTTTATTCCCACATCTTTGCTGGAAGAGATAACTGGTATCGATTGTTGTGTTATAATCGTGTTGTGTGTCGCGTATCGTGAGGACCCCCCCCCCTCTTTTTTGGTAGGAAAGGGGGGGGGGGGTTATATTCTCACCCGGAAGCTTTCCACCCAACATTAACACGCAGAAGGATGACTGAATGCGTCGTATGAGGGCCGTGTAATAGCCACAGATCAGTGGCTTTGTGGAGAAGAAACCAAGTGAGACGGGTCAGACCCTCCGTGACCGACTTACGAGCTCCAGGTCGCGAGCAAGTCGAGGGCCTTGATAGTTTTTTTCCAGTGCTCCGAGACGCGAGACAATTGGAATGCAATGCGTTCTCTCTCTCTCTCTCTCTCTCTCTCTCTCTCTCTCTCTCTCTCTCTTTCTTTCTTTCTTTCTTTCTTTCTTTCTTTCTTTAGTCTTTCTTTCTTTCTTTTTTTTCTTTCTTTCTTTGTTTTTGTCTCACTGTCTCTCTCTCTTCTTATTTTCTTTCCCTCTCTGTGTATCTCTTTGTCTCTCTATCTCTCTTTCCTTCTATCTCGCTCTTTCACTTTTTTCTGTCTGTTTCTCTCTTTTTATCTTTCTTCTTTTTTCTGTTTCCCCTTTTCACACACTCTGTCA